TCAAAATCAAATCAATTTGAGCGTGATTTAAACCCGGATGATTGTAACCACTCTAAGTTCGTCTGCCTTGGGAAAGCTAGCGTGTCTCCGACATAGTGATAACACTTGTTGCCTTCTCTAGTGCAGCTCAACTAGGTCTCGTCCCATTCGTCGATATTTGTGATATCACAAATCCCGGAAAATATGCGTTGTACTCCAAACGAGTCATTCGCTGTAGTTTTTGAAAAGTTGAAAAGATTTCTGTTAAATAAAATATCTCCTTTTGAATTGGACTTTGAGCTTTGTAACTTTGCAGATCTTTTTTATGCTCAAACAGCATTATTACAGACTAACTAAAGTTGAAAAAGTGAAAAAGAATAATAGCTTTAATATTAACTTCTTGTTTATTGAATTTTGTTGCCCTGACTCTTAGTAAAGCCTGCCACAGACCAGGCTAAATGCTAACCAATCTGTTCATATAATCGCTCTAAATGCGTGTGTGTCCAAGAAAGTCTGTACATATAATAGGCCTACTTAAAAATCTATATTTGATGCTATACAGTAATAATAATCAAATTTTGACAGATAGTGAGATCGGTATTATGAATTTATAGGCTACAGTAAGTTAAAGATACCTGAAGCAGCTGCATTTTGCTGTTTAAGTGCTGGTTTAATAGAAATAATTAGAATGCGCATGAAAACTCAATCTTGATGTGCATAAGACACTGTAATAAAAACATTTGGGGCTTCAGCCCCCTTAGCCCACCCCTAGTGCCGCCCCTGTTAGACTCCCAGGGAATGAATAACTTAATAAAATGTGTACTTTAAATACAATGTAACTTGCTTAGGATAAAAGCATCTGGCAAATGCATAAATGTAAATGCAAAGTAAAACTAAATGTATTTTGTGTTACCTAATTCTGCATTTCTGTAAAATGGACAGCTGGCTGTATGATGATTCTGCCTCTCATAGTCAGGATCCTGTTTTTGCTTGGAGAAATCTCCTGTAACATTCACAACATCATTTTGTGTTACTGTAGTTACTGTAGTGAAAAAACTGCCGTAGAGTAACAGAATTTACATTTTAATACAATAAACATTTGTAATATTTGTAATATTTACTTGCTATATTAATATATTGCTAGAATGTTCCTCTCTTTAAAAAGTCAACCTGTTCTGTCAGTTAGTGGAGAACAGCAGCTAAAGGCTAATTTAGAAACATTAACGTTAGTTAAACTGATGGAAGCTCACCTGATGTTAGCACCGCTACGACGGCAATCACAGGAAAAGACTCCAATACACCTCCGATGCAGACGACATGACCACAAACTTGAAAATAAAATACAAAAGATGTTCTTAACAGTGGTGTTTCTTAACTCAGTTTTCCTCAGTAACGTTAGGTTGTTAGCTCGCTGTTTTATGTTAACGTTAGGTCTGTCACTGAATTTAGGG